CCTCCTGCACATCTCCCACTGGGGATGTGCTCACAACCCAGGTACATGCCCTTGACCGGAATCGAACCCGGGACCCTTCAGTCCGCAGGCCGACGCTCTATCCACTGAGCCAAACCGGTTTCGGCATTCAGCACTTTTCTGAACGTAACATGTTGCGTCTTGCAAGGACAATGGATGGGGAAGTCTGATCCGGCAGGTGAAGTGTTGGCCCCCATGATCACCAGGGGGATTCAGAGGTAAGTTTCACCCCACGACATTTAGACACTTGACGGGTTTATACACGTCAGGAAGGTGCTGCCACTAACTCCTTCTTATCTCCTGTTCTTCTGAGGGACGTGGACGATAGGAGAAGCTCACAGTGTCTTGTCTAGAGAAAGCCGAAGGAGGAAGAGAAGAAACAGAGAGAGCAGTCGTGATGGGTCAGGTGACGTCGGTCCAGGAGGAGTGATGGGTTCCAGGCCGTGCGCCAGCCCTGGCTTTGGATTTGAAGCAATCTAGGCACGTTCGGACGCGATGATGAATCTCTTCGAGGACGAGGCAACTGGTGAGATATTTACAGTGTTGCTAAACGAACATATGAATAATGAATGGATAAACAGGGTCAAAAGTCAAGTTCTTGACAACAGGACGCTAGTCAGGATCATGGCAGGATACTAAAAATCAACATTTGACAGTAATCACAATAGTTGCTTCCACCAGGAACCATTCAAAGAGGGAACACCTTTTTGTTGTTTTTGTTTTGTTTTGTTTTGTTTGTTTTTTTGTTTTTAAATTTAGTTTTTAATTTTCTTTTTTTTAATATATTTTTTTATTGATTTTTTAGAGAGAGGAAGGGAGAGAGATAGAGAGTTAGAAACATCGATGAGAGAGAAACATCGATCAGCTGCCTCCTGCACATCTCCCACTGGGGATGTGCCCACAACCCAGATACATGCCCTTGACCGGAATCGAACCTGGGACCTTTCAGTCCGCAGGCCGATGCTCTATCCACTGAGCCAAACCGGCTTCGGCTCACCTTTTTTGTTTTTATTGATGGCAGAGAAAGAGAGAGAGAGGAACGGAGAGGGAGAGAGAAACACCGATTGGCTGCCTCCTGCACGCCCCCTACTGGGGATGGAGCCCAAAACCTCTTGGTTCATGGGTGACCTCTTGGCTCAACCAACTGGGCCACACCGGCCTGGTGGGATCTTCATTCTTGACTCTTTCCTTTGTTAAATAAAAACCTGGAACGTGGAACTAAGAAGGGTACGGAACGCCTCCTGGGTGTTGGGGGGGGAAGTAGAAAGCCCAAGCACGCGTGTGGTACTTACTGGCGATAGAACACATGTTAGTGCTTTGTCGTCTTTACTGCCGAGTATTTTCCGAGATTATATTTTTTGTTTGTTTTCTTCTCTTCCTTTGGCATTCGGACGGGCTGAGTGCGGTCCTCCACTTCAGCGAAGGGAGGTGAGGGGCGCACCAGGACCCTGTGAGATGCCGGTCGTGGGCTCCAGGCCACGTCTTCAGGTGCGTGCATCTTTCCAGTGGTTCCCTGGGTCATACCTTAATAATGTGCCATTCTGTAGTGATTGTCTTCGCCCTCCTTTCTGAATGTGAATTTTTAGTTTGTTTATTTTATTTTTTGTTCATCCTCACCCGAGGATATTTTTTCCATTGATTTTTTAGAGAGAGTGGAAGAGAGAGGGAAAGACACAGAGAGCCCTGACCTGTTTGGCTCAGTGGATAGAGCCTCGGCCTGCGGACTGAAGAGTCCCAGGTTCGATTCCGGCCAAGGGCACATGCCCGGGTTGCAGGCTCAATCCCTAGTAGGGGGCGTGCAGGAGGCAGCCGATCAATGATTCTCTCTCTCATCATTGATGTTTCTATCTCTCTCTCCCCCTCCCTTTCTCTCTGTAATCAATAAAAGTATATATTTTTTAAAAAGACAGAAACATCAACGTGATGTGAGAGAAACACATCAATTGATTGCCTCCTGCAGGTGCCCCAACCGGGGCCTGGGCTGCCTGCAACCAAGGTATGTGCCCTTGACGAGAATCTAATCTGGGACCCTTTGATCTGCAGGCCAACACTCTATCCACTGAGCCAAACTAGCTAGGGCTAAATTTTTATTTTGTATGAGTATTGAGTAGACTGACAAGTGTAAAATTTTAGGAAATTGTTGATTTCTTTTTTTTTTACACAATTCTGGATTGCAGTGAAATATCCTTTTGTGAGAAGAAGCTATGTTTGGGAGTTTCCCTAACAGATTCTTAGGTTTCAGAATGTTGACCCATGACTTAAGAGCATATGGTCAGATCCTTACATCATGATGAATCACTGATACTCTTCTCATCACTGAGATTTGACTTTAATTAGTTTTAAAAAATTACTTTATTTTCATTTATTTTTTAAAATATATTTTTATTGATTTCAGAGAGGAAGGGAGAGGGAGAGAGAGATGGAAACATCAATGATGAGAGAGAATTATGGATCGGCTGTCTCTTGCACGACCCCTTACTGGGGATCGAGCCCTGTGCAACCCTGGCATGTGCCCTTGACTGGAATCAAACCCGGGACCCTTCAATTCGCAGGCTGACGCTCTATCCACTGAGCATAACCAGCCAGGACAACTATTTTATTTTTAAATTGAATTTATTGGATTGACATTAGTTCTTTGGATGTAGAAAATTATATGTTAAATTTATGAGATCTTTCTAATGTCCAGAAGATTTTAAATGAAACCCACAAAGCCTTTCATTTTTCCTTAAAAAAGCAAAAATAAATTTCAATATTCCATATTGTGGTGGCCTCACAAAGATCAGTCATGTGTGTTCATCAAGTAGAGACATCAGGAGATTTCATAGGTTTGCTCCTTAATCATTATTTGTTGCTCATGT